ATGTCTAAAGAAAAAAGTGATTTAATTTGGAAAAGGCATAAACCGAACAACATTTCAGCAAAAAGGGCTCTCAAGGAACAAGGCAACCGCACCTTCGGAAGCAGCTTATTTCTAATTCCAATGTTTCTTAAAGGCTCTCTGGAGGACCCTTAATCATTAAATTCTTTCATCTTCCGAATGAAATGAATCAGTTGCAAAGAAGGAATTTAATTCGCACCTCATCAACTCGTCTGCAAAATAAAATAGCCATTTCACGGGAAATTGTCGGAAGCGGGAATTATAGGGGCAAAACGTCGATTAATTTATAGGAGCACGGAAGGCGAATAAGTCGGACAGACTGAATTGTCAGACTTTCCTTCTGTGTATCCATTTATAGTGCGAACAGAGCCTACAGTGGCTCGCAGTAAAACAAAAATGTGCATATTTAACACACTCTGCGACATCACCATTCCCCGGGCCCGAATACACGGCTGGTTTTTCAACGCTGTCGCGTACACAGCAATTGATCCACGGTCCATCTGGTTGTCGAGGACGTCCTCATTACTAAACTGCTGGTAAAAAGTAGCCGCTATACGATGGCACCTCGATCTCTTATTACGGAACAAGCTCATTGAGCTAAAAAAAATATGCCGCTCAACAAGCCAGAACAAAAGTCGTGTCAACAGGGTCCATTGATTGATGATGCCAAAATGGATTTCTTCTGCGAGCTAGCTCATTCAATTCAGAACAGGACAAGCATATAGAAGGCCTGAGATGTGTCAAACCAATCCAGAAAGACTAGCACTCATGTCCTGGCTCGATGAAACCTATCCTTTCCTTCCAAAGAAGGGTGAGATATCACGGCATTATCGCAATATGTATACGGGGTATCCTCTAGAACTAAGCCTAGCAGGGGGCAGGAGCTCCAGGGAAAATTAAATGGCCCACGCGCCGCGGAGCCTCTCCTTCCCTCCTAAGGCTTGATCCTCTTTCCAAAAAAGGTTATTTTCACGTAAGTTTTGAATGCATTGCTACCACAAGCCCCCGTATCTTGCGATAGCGCCGACATCACTTTTTAGGACGATTCGAATTCAGTTCAAGGCCAGATTCAAACACGACTCAGAAGCATGTCGTACGAAATACTTCACCTCTACTCGTCTGAGATTACTTACTATGCCAAGGACCTCGTTTGATTTTTGATTGAAGGAGATCAGCAAGATCAACCGCATGGTTGAAGACCTTATATTGTTGCACTTCTGCTCCGCCTCTAGGTTTTAAAGATAGAATGCTTACTCGGACCAATCTTTCGAGCGCCTCGTCGGTTTCAAAGGCCTAGTTTCCACCACGAAGTGTAACGGAGCGCTACTCGCAGAACATCAGCAGTGAATTGGTGGGAATTAGGCCTTTGAGAACGAAGAGACGGTCGAAACGTGGTCAGAATAAGCATCCTAACTTAAAAACCTCAAGGCAGAAGCATGAAATCCAACAATATCAGCGGAAGTGATGAGGTTTCAAGATGACTAGAACTGGGATTTACTGAGCGTCTTTAACTTCCTGCACATTACTGACTCAGCGCTGCTCTCTGAAGCACTGCTACCTTTTGCGCTGTCCACTGAGTTAGGTTTAGTGACAACACAGCACTCCTAGCGAATTCCGTCAATTTTCCATGAAATGAATGAAATAAGTCTACTGTGCTCAAAAGTGTAACGGCTCAAAGGAGAAAACAATAGAAACCGTACAAAACGCAGAGAGGGGCTCTTGTTGTACCTTTGAAGCCCGAGTGGCCGTCTATGGATTCATAACCTGGCTCCGCCTCCCTACTTAAAGAACTCGTGACGGCAACCAGCAGGTGCGCAGCCAATCGAAACCGGCAGAGCATGAAAACCTTAGAGACGGGTTTGTCTTATGTCGCATGCGTGCACCTTTCCGCAACACCACCATTTTTCGCTCATTTGCTGGCCTAGCATCCCATCGAGTCGGCGAATTTCCCATATTTCAGCAACCAATTTATCGTGTCACCTGCTCTTAAGCCTCGAAATTATGTACAGGTGAAATTCGCATTTCAATGCCGCCATGATCAGGAAGCTTGAAGATAAGTCCACTTTAACCCTTGTTGGTTGCCAGTGACTGCTAATTCTTTCAACTACACAGGCTCTTTCGCATGCACCCCTGTTAGCTCGTGCGCTCCAACACTTCCCCAAGCCCAAGAACTCACTGGTAGCTCCATGTCTTCATTCTGATTGTACTGATCAGAAAGTAACAGAGGTTAAATGTGTGGTGGTCACTTATACCAGGAGGGCAGTAAAACTCTCCACCAGAACTGAGAACAGTCGCGTCGTAACCTTCCGAGCCCCCCCGTCCTCTGTAGAAGGAAGAACTAGCCTTAGTTGTACGCTGATGGAGCTGACACGGAAAGGACTAGCTAAACAAACGATCTGGCATTACCAGTCGCAGAAACTGCCACGCTCAAAGGCAAGCTACGGGATATAATGGTGTGCAATAGCGTCCAATAAAGTAATGAGGTGAACAGTAGTCTGGAAAAGGAAGACAAAGCCAGAGAAACCACGATTACGCCCCGAATAGAGACCTACCCTATTTCAGCTGCATCCTTTTTGGAATAGAGAAAGGGCGTGTTGGACGAGTTTCACAGACCCAGCTCCAGTTGCTCCAGTGCCAATGATCTTGAACCGCAATGCCCGCGCTTTATTAAATAAGCGTCGCGTGGCAACCTACAGCGGAAGGCGGAGTTTGCGGCGAAAGAATGATGCGGGTCCAGAGCTCTCGTCGCGTATTTTGCGCACTTTAAGCTCACAGACGAGGGACATCAACCTTCTAGCTGCTACTACGTTCTCGGTATGGACCAGTTACGTGTCTATACGCCCATTTAGGAATTTAAGCGCCTTCAAAGGCGTAGACAGATGTCTAATAATCAATAACTTGTAAATCACCTTATCGAAGTTTGGCGCCGAGTTATGACGCTGCTTTAACTCGCAAATCACCTGGCAGTTACCAGATGAGGAAGTTCTCAATGAAACTTGCAAAACTGGTGAGTACAATAATAGGTTAAAGAACTAGGACCGTACCAGAAATGATTTGAAAAGTTGCGATAAGTTATACGACCCAACTGGACGTATCAGCAGCCAAAGCAGCAAAAGAAATAGGCAAAATTTGGAGGGAAAAAAGAATCACCTGAAGAAGATCGCGGCCACTTGCAGACATATTAGGGACCACTTGACCCCACGTCATTGCTGGATGATACAGCGGCATGGGCTAAAATTCGGTTTGTTAAATAACGAATATCAAATGTTCATAATAATGGATAGCTCAAATGCTCTGTACTTTGAAATCCGGTAGTTGTGAAAGGCCAGGCCAAGTGTCATCGGTTGGTGTTCCCAGCTGCTTGAATATTCTCTTAAGCTGATCATCGACATCTGCGCCAGGGAAAAGCGGTCGACCAGCGTTTGAAATCTCTGAAAAGGCTTGCATAAAACAATGCCAAAATTGCATGCAATTCACATCGATATGCACTCACCAGCAAAAATACAACCAGCTGACCACATATCAATTGAAGTGTTGTATAATTTCGCTCCAAATAAAACGTCAGGCGGTCGATACCATAGTGTCACTACCTTCAAAAATGACACAACTTCGGGCATGAAGGATAAAGCATTTGGCTTTGATCAGCTTCTCTTGGGTATGCGCCATGGATTCTACTTCCATTCAAAATCGCAATACCGTTTTGAATGCAAAATGGCCTATACAGTGACTGGTGGGGGCTGGCCAATGTACAAGTCAGGATCACTGTTAGCCAGTCAGCCACTGAAGAACCTACTGCCGTTCTTCGACCTTTGAGACTTCAAAATGATACCAGAGCTATTCAACCACTCTGAGTCTAATGCTTACAATGACGGATCTAACGTTTGAACTTGACGGATAAAAACCCAGAAAAGCAGATGGTGAATGAGTAACTACTAAAAGATTCCAAGCAACTCCAAGGCAGTAATGCGAACATTGGAGCCATGGAAATGATCGTGCTCCTAAAGTTAGTGGGGAACGACCGCCATATTCGCTCTGTGTCCAAGTGGCTCTACCTCGACTTTTTCACATGGAAACGAAGCTTATTGAAACTGACTTCGAACCACCATAAAAATGATGCTCCAAAAAATTAGCTGAGAACTTACCTCTGCGCTGTAACACCTGACTGGCACTCCGAACGCCCGTGCAAGTCCAAAATCAGCCAGTTTCAGCTGACCGTTGGAATTGATGAGCAGATTTTGCGGTTTGAGATCGCGATGAAGAACATGGTGTGCGTGACAAAAGGCTAACCCTCGAAGCAACTGCAGCATCAGTGACTTTGCCATCTGAATCTCCAAATTGAGCTCAGCTTTTCAGTCTCAATTAAAGGTATAGCAACATAAACACTCGACCTGTTGATCGATATGACCATTTAGTGAATCGAAAAACTTCTTCAGGTCCTGATCACAATACTCAAAGACCAGAGTTAGTTTGCTTTCCGAATATATGACGTCATATAAGCGGACGACGTTTCTGTGCTTCAATTCCCTTAAGATGCAGATTTCTCGTAATGCTGAACTCGGGACTCCCTGAAAAAAGAGCCGATGGAAGCAAGTATTATAGAAGACGGCGAAAAAGAGGGGCGGAAGTGGCGCAGAGGGAAGTGTCGCTGCTCACCACATCCGGGATCTTATCCAGGCCAGGAAACCTTCAAACCCTGCGGGTCGATTAATTGGTACCAGATTTTACTGGGAGTAAAAGAAACATTAGCCTGTACCTCTACAAATCGTGAAATGGCACTGCGATTGGGAGTGGAAGTGGAATGCGTGGCGAATCTCAATGAGAAACTGGTCAAGGCCGAATGCCTTATGCCTTTACGCTTAAGGGGGGGGGCAATAATTCATCCCCAATTTCTATGATATGGCGAAATCTTCATTCCAGAAGTGCCTTGAGCTCCCGTTTTCTTTCTTCATCCCTCGACAATATCGTTCAGCAGTTCTCATGGCTGCGTGGAATTGACGTTTCGTAAACGAGAAAAATCCTCATGGCACTGAACTTAGTCCAAGAGTGGTAATCGCGATGAAAAATGTCAACCCTTCCCCACTTGCAGCGCTCCAAGCCCTCTAAGCCCGATCCTCGAATAAAAATGAAGCCATAGCGGCTTCCACACATTATGAATGGAACCCTCAAATGGCCGAGATTGGACGGCGACCAGTGACACCGCAACCCGTGAATCAAGTGTCGGATCAAATCTCAAACAGGATGACCACACGTTCCATCATCGAATTTAGTAAAAAGGTAACAGGCTTCTTCTAAAACCCGAGAACGCTTATGTGCCCTGCATTAGCTAGCCATACGACTCCTGTAGATCCAGTACCCATCAAACCACTATCAATAAGGTCCTGAACATAGGTCGAGTGCGCGGTGTAACCCTCAAAAGGGATTAGTCAGCGCCATATTAACAGTCCTATCATTCCCACCTGGGACGAAAGTTTTGTTCATAACCCAGCATTTTTATGAAATTTTTACAAGGCGAACTGCTGCCCAAAACAGCGTCACCATTCAAAAACACGCCCCATCATTTATTGGCTTGTTTTTTTTTCAGCTCTCTATAAATGGCAAAATTTCAATAAAGGATAAAAGATATTAAAGCGGTTGCGCGTTGATTCATCCTTTGGATGCGGCTACGCGCTCATACTTTGGTCCACTTTGTAAACGTTCGTCAGGTGGCGTTTGCAATGCGATCGCTGCCTACTTACAATGTACTGGTCGGGGACCGAGAATCGAAGTAACAGTCAGTGTGTTTTATCTTCCGCAGACAAGCCTGTGTGGTATCAATTAACCGACCCCGGAGGGATGGAAGGCTCGGTTGGCCTCGACCCAAGATTGGAGGCTCACAACCCAGGATTTGATCCCTGGACCGCTCGCGTGGTAAGCGTGCCACTTGCCACTACACCACTTCCGCTGAGCGACTGCCTAGTATTTCAATACTTCTAAGAAACCGAGCCTAAAGCTTTGCCTTGAGGTAATCTCTTTTGAGCACATGTTAACTTCCCCGAGGAAAAATAGCTTTTCCTGTTGTGGATTCTCCTGTGATGTTAATACCGCTGTTTTTCTGCTGCGAACAATTCCCAGCATAAAAAGCATAAGGAGAAGCATTCGGCGCTGATAAAGCCCTTTTTGTGATGCGTCACGCGCGTTCTATTTTCATCGTAATAACTTCGTATAGCATACATGTAGCCAGTGAAACGCCTTGGTAGGCCAATCGAGTCAAGGGTCAAGCGTCCTTAAAACGTGTTGACGGCAGTAACAAACGTGGGCGGTCGACCTGGTTGAAGTTGTTAGAGAGGGGGCGTCGGTAGCCCAGCTTTGAGATGTGTCGAAATCACGTGTAGGATTGAGAGTGAGAAACTAAGATTTCGTGGGTAGTAGCCTGTGCGAGTAGAGGGCGCGCAAAGATAAAAATTTGCCGTTTCAGCCGGCGTATATACCTCCCCGTCTCGACGGCATTTTTGGAGGAAAAGTGGGCGGAGGTTTGAGGGTTGGGTGGTACCTAATATTATAATTACTAACATTCGAGAATAATGGTGTCCGAGCGAAAGAACGCGGGTCGTACCAAGGAAGCCACCTTGGGGGACGGGGGTTCGTAAAAAATTGTTCGGAAAAGTAAGCAACGCATAGGTTGAACGCTGAAATTCGACAGTCACAGATCAGTTCGTTGTTATCTTCCCTGACAAAAACCGCGACATACAGGGGGGGCCAAAAAAAAAGACATTTTGTCTCCACTTCCAGATGGATTTAAGCACACTTTGCTCAATTCAGACCGAATGGTCCCAACTTATTATTAAAGCGCATTCCATTCTATAAGAAAATCTTTATGGTGGCCACCTACGTGGACGGCATCAGAAGAATTTGCCCTGGAAACATGGTGCACTGGTCGAGCTCAATGGGGTCTTCGAAGGATCGTGTACCATAACGACCCTTACTGGAAAGCTAGTTCCGAGGGGATTTGCACAGTGGTAGCTAATGCCTCTAGAAAACTATCCAACATTAAATCGATTCACGAAATTGCGTAAGAGCTTCAGGCTGAAGCTCTTACGGTAGACCTCCTTGAGCCTGACGACGGTGACAGATGACGTCATATTCTGAAGACGGTGAGGGCAGTGAAGGAGGGCCTGCGTTCACTTATAGAGGGACACTTAGGGAAATACTCTGCTGAGGAACTCCCGTCAACCGCCGCAATCTCTGCGGAAGAAAAAAGGGCCGAAGTCTGACATAGGCAAAATGACTTTTTTTTGGCCCCTGCGATAGTATAAGTGCGCGCGACCCCTGAGGGGTGTAAAGCTTGTTTGCCCTGGACGAGATTTGGTCCGGGTCGCGACCCCAGTTCCGTGTACATGGTTCTTGGCGCTTCTTGCCACTACATCACTTCCGCCCGACTGCTAGCACGCAAGGAATTGCAATGCAAAGAATTCCAAAGGCTGATGATCGTCAACTGATGGTCAGGAAAGCGCCAAGACACACTACATATAGGTTTAGCATACCTCATCATCGTCGTCAAGTCGAACTCGTTTCAACGCTACAACTTCGCCTCCTTCTTTATTGCGAGCTTTGAACACTGTACCGTAAGTACCTGAAACCGACAATTTCGTTTTAAAAAATGAAGGTACCCCTCAAGATAGCTTTTCATTTGTTTCGTTCTATCAACCACTCTATATGGTACGAGGGTTGCCACTTGGGCGCTGAGTTGTGGAAATGCCCAATCGGTGCTGTTCCGAAATTCAAAACTGATAATCACTGATTCTTTGGAACTTCGTTCCGTAAAGGAATTTCTGATGCAGTCTAGGCATTTCCCTACATTTTACTTGCCCTATGCAAGAAACGAAGGCCGTTTTTCGCCTACCTTCCCGTTATTGGCATCCTCACAAGATTGTATTCTAGAATACTTCGCAATCTGGGGCACTAGGCATTTGCTGTAGAAGGAACCGTACTTCGCCAAACGCGCAGCGTTCGATCTCACAGTGCTAGTAGGAAACTGCTTTATGGAGAGCTTCCGGACACCTCCTTATGTCTCTTCCATTTTTCTTGCCGAAAAGTCATGAATGGCAAATTTTTTAATTATACCCGTGCAACGAGCGACTTCAAGATTTGAATGTCTCCTTTCAAAGGCAGAATTCACGATGAAAAAGCAACCCATTTCAAATTAAGTTAGGATGGTGAGTGGTACACGAAAGAAGGAAAAACCATGAGAAACGGCCCAGAACCCGAGAAATGGGACCCCTTCCTTGCCCGTTGATTTCCGCATTGATGCGACTCTCATCGCTGTGCCCTCGCAACGCTCTCTCTCTCT